TCTGTCTCTGGTGAAGCCTCTCGCCGCCCCTGAGCTTCTGGCCTGTACCCCAGTTCTGTATGTACAAATAAATAAATCTTAAAAAAAAAAAAAAAGCAAATCTTGGAATATGAGGCATAAAATCTTTCCATACTTCCTGTGCAGTCACCAGTGATCACAGTCACTCACTGAGAACCATTATCTCCATGGTAATTCTTGTTAGGTTGGTCAGGGTGAAATTATGGGAAGTGGGCACAAAATCCTGGTAAATAAGGACCTGCCTCTGGGTGAGAGCAAGAGTTTCTGACCTGGACTTTCAGTGTTCAACTCTACATATTTAGCATAGTTATTGAAACTCTGGGCTTCATGTTTCCCATTTTAAAAATTAAGGGTTAATCCTTATGTCATAAGACTGTTGTGAGGCTATGTGGAGTAATGCATGAAAAGTCCTTACATTCACTCAGATGTTGCTCAAAATGTTACTTACTTCTTATGTAAAATCAAAGGACTCAAAGGCTAGAAATGACCTCAGTGACCATTTAATTCAGGTGTTCACAAATTTGAGCCACCATCAGAATATTCTTGGGAGCTTCAGAATGCAAATGCTGACTTCACTTTTGGACTCTTTGAATTGTTAAGTTCTGCTTATCTGCTAGTTTGGGAAAACACTGATCAAATCCAATCACAAAATTTTACAGACCAGGGAATAGCACAACTCAGGGATAGAAGTAAGTGTACAATCTGGTCCCGGATCCTGTTGTCCAGCAGTCCTTCCAAGTTCCCAGCCACTTGAAAGTTGAAAAGTTCTTGGAGGAAAGAACCATGACTTATTACAGACTGGCATGGGTCTAGAAGCTTTTGGGGAAAGAGGTTTGTATAATTTCATTTCTTTAACATCAAATAGATTAAATGAAAGTATGTTTTTATAGGAGAGAGTCCCAAGGGCAAGTCCCAGTTCTGTTACCAACTCCCTCTTTGACCTTCCACAAGTCAGTAAACTTCTTTGAGCTTAGTTCAACCATTTAAATAATTACATTAAATAACAACAATTAAATAGTTAAAGGGGCTGGCTTCATTACTTCAGATAATTTAAATTTCAAAAAGATTTATACATAATATTTTAAGTAGTAAATCGTTAGATGAATATCATAGATTATTATTGTTATTAATTTTATGGTATCTATTGCCCATGGCTATTAAACTGTGTTTGTGAATTAAGTCAAAAAGTACAGAAATATTCTATGTCAGGGCGTTGTTCATTAGTGTGGAATGCCGCACAACAGGGGAGGTTCCTGTTGGAAAGAGAATTGGTGGAAGCAATTAACTAAAGCAATTTTCAGAACTGTGACATCCTTCACGTCTCTTCAATGCTTCTTTATGACCTGCAAGTGTGGTGGATGACAGGAGAGAAAGGCGGGAATCCACCAGGTGGAGTATGAGCAAGAAACTTGATCCATAAAGCAGGAAGATCCCTTATATACAGTTGCAGCAAAGCACATTTAGAAGGGGCACCCATGCAAGCAGACTGAAATTCCACCATTGACAGTGAGCTCCTGCCTCTATGGCTTCCTCCTGGTGCTCCCAGAGATTGCCTGGATCTCATGGACACTCCAGGGTTTATAATACCAGATCAAGTAGCCACGGCAAGAGATCTGTGAACAAGACAAGGACAGTGAAAAGCTGAACTCGCAGACGGTTTCTCAATCTCTGGGATCTAGTTACATCTATCTCCCAATGTTGCCAGCCCTTTTCTGAGCACAGAAAAGTCTCCCAATCGCATCCTTCATGTCTTTGTTTCTCAGGCTATAGATAATGGGGTTGAGAAGGGGAGCAAGTATAACAAAAGTGACAGCAATTGCTGTGTCCCAAAACACTGAGTAGGTGGCAGAGAACCGCAAATACATGACAGCCACACTGCCAAAGAACAGCAGGAACACAGCCAGGTGGGCAGCGCAGGTGGAAAAGGCCTTGTGACGGCCTTCAGCGGAAGGCATCCCCAGAATCACCACAATGATTCGGATGTAGGACAGGGCGATGACCAGGAAGGAGGCCAGGATCTCCACTGCATGGATGGCATCCACAATGACCACCAGGGAGGTATCTGTGCAGGCCAACTTCAGCACAGGTGTGAAATCACAGAAGATCTGCTCTATCTGGTTGGAACCACAGAAAGGAAGGGTGGAGATCCAGGCGATCTCAGGGAGCACCAGGAGGAAGCCACAGAGGCAGGAGCCGGCTGTCAGCTGGACGCAGAGCTTGGGAGTCATGATGGTTGGATAGCGGAGAGGACTGCAGATGGCTATGTACCTGTCGATGGCCATTGCTGTCAGCACACAGCCTTCTGTGATCCCAAGGGAGTGGAAGAAGTACATCTGAAGAAGGCAGCCAGCCAGAGAGATGGTTTTCTGTTCACTGGCCAGGCTGGAGAGCATTTTGGGGATGGTGGTGGTGGTATACCAGATCTCCAGGAAGGAGAGGATGCTGATGAAGAAATACATGGGCGTGTGCAGGGCCTTGTCCAATTGGATGACAATGAATATTATTAGGTTCCCAGTGATGATAAACCCATAGATGAGAAGCAAGGGAATAAAGAAAAAGAGTCCACCTTCCTGTGGACACGGGAACACAGAGAAGAGGAACTCGGTCACCATTGTCTGATTCCCACTGCTCATCAACTGTGACATCTGTGAGGGGGAGGAAAAAAAAAAAAACAGAAACAAAGAATCTCCTGAGATTGGTAGTGGTTACATTGCAAACTGCCTCTGTCCTCTTTAAGTTGGAAACAGGACAGTTAGAAGTGTCTCTCAACTGAAATGTTTGCTTTCGACTTCCAAACAACCTCTTGTAGCCTCTTAAGTGGAAAGCAAAGATCACACAGAGCAATACCAAATTTAATTCTCTGGAATACTTTCTGCAGGTTCACTTTATTTTCTGAGTTTATCTTCTTCTCATTCTCTGCCACTATGTATTTAGCTTTCAAACTGGCCCCTTTCTTTTCCACTATTCTCTACTCCCGTGTATTAATACAAAAAAATAAGATTATAAGGACACTGTCAGAGCATTTCTCTCAGTAATTCTCATGTAGTTCTTTCCATTTCTTCCAACCCTGACATTGAACCTGACTCTGGTTAAAATATTACCTCTACCCACCCCACCCCCGTCTTTTTCTATTGGTTTTATAATAACATGTCTTTTTCATTAGGTAGTAAGTGCCCAGATGTCAGGAAATACTTCCTTCTCATTCTCTGGTTAAAATATTACCTTTACCCACCCCACCCCCGTCTTTTTCTGTTGGTTTTATAATAACATGTCTTTTTCCTTAGGTAGTAAGTGCCCAGATGTCAGGAAATACTTCCTTCTCATTCTCTGTAACTTCCCTTCTCTGTCTCCTCTCTCAAAGTTTGACTGAGAACTGTTAAGACCGGGAGTCTGGGCAGACCCATCTGAATAATACCCAGTGGATTAAAGAGGATTATATAACCCCAAGCCCCAAATTTACTGTCTTCTATGACCTGGTTCAAATTATAGAGCCAAATATCTTTTCTATTGGTTTTGTAATATCTGTGGGTCTGCCCACACTCATCAGTTCAACCAAATAGGACCCACTTTTCCCATTTGTATCTTTGCCTATGTTGTTCCTCCCTGTCCCTTTCTTTGTCTTTTCTTAGTAGAATCCTAGTTGCCACTGTCTAATAAACATCATCATCTCAGAAGTCTCAGTAATCATTCCTGACAAAGGTAACCTCACTCTCTGCCTCCTCAGAAGTCTTCAGGTTTCCTTCTTTCATGTCTTCAAACATTTTAATGCTTCCAGCAGTTTAAATATTTGCATTATCAATGGTCTCTCCCTCAAGCAGACTGAAGCACCCCAGAAGGAATCATAAAGGATAAATGGTGTCATTGATGAGCCATGATTTTACACGTTCTCATTCATTTAATTCTACCTATGAAAATGGGGTATAGAGATATGTATTATAATTTTATAGATAGAAATATTGAGAAACAGAGGGAAGAAATAACTTGTCTAGATAACATAACTAGGATGAACAGTAATCACTTGAAGCCTCGACTGTGTATCTTACAAAGTCCACTATTATTTCATGGAGCTCAAAATTTTTCCTAAATGTTTTTGCCTGTGTAGAATTTCATGGTTATCAGAGGAAAGGAGAGGGGAAGAGGGGAGAGAAAAGCGCAAAGAAAGGGAAGCAGAGGGGATATTGGCACTGGTGGTTTGGTGGAGGGTGAGTGGAATGCTGCACCTTAGAAGAACAAAAATAGAACCCCCAAATTAAATTTAAAAAAATTATTCATAGAAAAAAACCCTCAAAAATAATAATGCCTGAAAATCTATAATACAGCTGGACAAACAAAAAAAAAAGTCTGTTATTATACCTTCCACAATAGAGGGACTTCAGGGAAGACAGTGTTTTCCGCCTGCCTCCTTCTCCTACCTATAAAGATTTAGGATTGTCTTCAGTGGGAGATAAGAGAACCGATAATTTTTCTTCTTTCAGGAGTTCAAAAACAGATGAAAACAAATGCATTGCAGACCAGGAAAATTAATTTTCAAGATGCCTCCTGCCTTAGATCTCAAGCCTTGAGGGGAAGAAAGATAAGTGACAGGTTTTAGAAAGGAAGAAGCCACAGTTTAGCTTTCAAAGCTTAAATTTCCAACTCCTCAGTAATCCACAAGTCTTCAAACTTCAGCTAAGTTTTAGTGATGGAAAGATCAGTATTATCCGTATCTGCATCACACCACATACACGCACATACACAGAGAGAGAGCTCGACTACATTCCTGCTAATGTCCCTTCTTGATTTTATGTCTCATTATTCTAATTTCTCACTCATAGCAAACTTCTAAAAATATGAAATTATATCCCATATATTAAGAAACGTTTACGATGAAAGGTTAGGGCAAATTTGGGATTTGAAGACTGAAGGATAGAGGCAAAGCCGGCACGTTAGGACTGAGAAGCGGGTTAGCTGTCTCAACTGCAGAAGCCCAGCAGCGGCAGGTGTGAGCACTTACCGGCCTGAGACTCCGCACTCTTCAGTCCGGCACACACTGTCCTCTGCTCATGCCTGATGAGGGCATAGATAAATCTGAAGGCTCTTCTGGGAACAGCTAGAATGGAAAATTGTCTTTCCTGGGAGTTTCTCCTCAGATGATGCAGGATGGAAAGGCAAATGGAGCACCTCAGTCTCCCTCTCAGGGACAAATTAAGGGAAATTGTCACATCATAATTAGACTTTCCTCAGTGAGGTCTCAAGAGATTTCCCAGGGCTACCTACCGTTATCTGTCACCAGGGGTCCGTACAGGCACTGGGGTCCAGAGAAGCAGTGGTGTCAGAGATTTCTCTGAAACATACAGTCTGTAAACATGACTTGTCACTTATTCCCCACTCTGCTTTTTATTCCTTCTGCCAACAAAATACCAATAAAAAGTGACAAACACTAATAAATATTGAAAAATAGATTTTTCAATTTTTAAAATACATATTATCTCTATGGAGTCACTAAAAATAATGTGTGTGCTTAATGTATGCTAATATAGAAATTTTACATTAAGTGCTTTTTACTATAATTACTAAAATGAGGTAGACAAGACAAGATTTATATCAATTTTGCACATGAGAGATTCTGAGATGCAAAGGCTTTCTCCAGTTTACATCATGGGATAGAACCTGAGTCAATCTTCTGACCTAGCTAAGCATAAATTAACTCTGCCTTCAGTTTTACCTCTATTGATTATTCCCAAATACATTCTCCCCACTTTGATTTTTCACTTAACGGGCGGTGTTATAGTGCAGGATTTGGTTTAACTAAGAAGGAGGATACAAAATATACAGGACATTCTTGAGCTTTCCCTACATTTCTGTTCCTATTTTCATTTCACTCCCTGCCTTACCCTGCAGGTCTTACTCTGCAAACTGCTCATGGTTACAAACTCACAATCATTTTGTTTTCTTTCCTGTTTCTCCTGTTTCCTTGAATTTCAGCCCTGACTTTCTGCTCTGTACCTGAAATCTTCACACACACTTCACCTCTAATCTTACTAACTCTAATGCTTCTATACATTGTCATCTCCTCCATGACGTCTTGTCTTATTCCCAGGTTGGGTTGTTGGGGGGTAGGGTCCTCACTCTTGTGTTCCTACAGCATTACCTAGTGCATAATCTGTGATTGCAAATATCTAATGATATGTCTAGGTTCTAAGAAAAGGGATGATTTATCTTATATATATTCATATTTAAACCTCTAGTGTATAGCCTAGGGACTTATACAGAATTCAAGGAAGAGAAAATATAAAAACTGTATTTGTCAGAGGCTAAATGTATTTGATTTGGTTTGTATTAGAGAGATTCTAGAGTGAATTCATAGAAGGTCAGGGCAGGTTAATTGTGGAGACTTTTAAATGTCACACTGAGTTTTTGAAAATATATTTTGCAATATATTTTGCAAGCATGATGAAGTTATTAGATCATTTTGAGTGGGGGCTTAATGAACAAAATGTTGGGTGCATTTAGGCAGACAAATTATGGAAGTATTAACTCACAAAATTAATGAAGTATATTAATTCATGAAACTGGCACCTATCAGATATCAGACACTAAGTTGAAATACTGTGGGGTAAAGGATTAAAATAGGTCAGTAATAATGGAAATGAAAGATAAAAGAGATTAGGAAAAATATGAATGATCAATAAGTTTTTACTATATGTAGGGCATGTTGGGAAGAAGAGCATTGCAGATGAGAGCATTAGTGTAGAGCATTATAGATTTTAAAGTTGAATTAGTTTGTCAGATGCCACTATGTTTATAGACACAGGATCAGCTAAAACAAAAGCTAATGAAGTGGGATTTTATGAGATGAATTATAGATGTGTTGTTTTGAATAAATGAAAACAACTTTTATGAATAAATGAAAAAACTTTTAAGTAGAAATGTCCTGTTGCCATTAAAGGTGAAGAACTTAAAGAAGTTCAGAAGAAATAGCAAGTCACAGATTAAGTCTTATTAAGTAGAGAGCATGGTCAAACTGTTAAGATACACTAAAGATTCAAAAAAAAATCTAAGGAGTAAGATTACAATTGAGTAGGACGAAATAGGATTGACAATATTGAGCTATCACTTACTAGGTATTGGCCAAAATATCCTATGGCATTTATATATTTAATCTCTTTTCATATTTTCAATACTGAAATAATTAACCATTTAACAATGAGGAAACAAAGTTTAAATGATATGTATCTGTCTATAGGCATGTAGCTAAGTAAGTGGCAAAGGCAGAATTTGAATATGGGATTATCTTTCTTATTCTGAAGTGCTGAGGGAACTAACAGAGAATAAGGACAATGTTATAACATAACTAAAATAATTAAAAGGACAAAAAAACAAATGACATTTCAATAAATTTCAGTGAATGAAATTTTGAAATAACCTCATTGATTATTATTATTATTATTCCCAATATTTGATATCAGACAACCATCTTAGATATTTTTGTTGATAATAAAGTTTCAGAGAAAATGGAACAAATAAACCTAATAGTTAGAGGATCATTAGCAAATGTGGAGTTAATACAACTTTAGCTATGAGACTTTTGCAATGTTTACAGAAGGTGAAAGAAAAGTGCAAATACAAAACTTTATTAGTCACTATAGGTCACTTTTGAGAAGTT